TTTCAACCCCTGGCAAGACCTTGCACCTCCATAATCCCAGCTGGAAAATTAGGTAAAGTAAAAACATGACCTCATTAAGAAACAGATGCTTCATCTGAGCAGTGTTTTCCCAAATAAACACATTACAGAGCTTCTTGTGACATTTTTTCAGGATGTGGTACTGTGTCCCCTTGACCATTGGTCAGTTTGGGATCAGGAGACAAGAGCTTGAAATTCTGTTTAATTTGCAGACCAAAGTTTAGAAAAACAAACAGTTTCCTTCCTGAGGTTAATGTTATAAGTCAGCTCTAGTTGTACAGTAATACCTGGGTTGAATAAGAAGCTGAACCAACAGTTTCCTTTAAAATGATGTGTCTTCATCTGGCTACACATTATCACAGATTTTCTAACACCAGATTCCCTTGTGAATTCAAGAAAGCAAGGTGTTCTTTAAATCTGTACTGGGAATATCAAAGATGACATTTATTTTACAAAATGTTACCCCTTTGCCAATTCAAAAAGAGGATTTTCATACCAGGAAAGTTATCAGGTGACAATTTGTTTGCTATATCTGAGCTAACAACGTAACTCAAACTCTCAGCCCTATAGACTTTATTCTGACATAATTTATCATTATATTTATTTTCTTAGATTAATTCAAATAAACTCCTTTCTGGTGTTACTTGCTGACAGACACTCAGCATGATTGTTGTATTTAAGACATGATTGAACATCTATTAAGAATAGGTCAACATCATCTAACACAATTTACACTTTAGCTTTTACTAATTATTTCAAACAGCAAAATACAGCTCTGGCCGGGTGCGGTGGCTCACACCTGTAATCCCAGCACTTTGGGAGGCCAAGACGGGTGGATCAACTGAGATCAGGAGTTCGAAACCAGCCCGGCCAACATGGTGAAACCCCGTCTCTACTGAAAATGCAAAAAGTTAACTGGGAATGGTGGTGTGCACCTGTTACGCCACTTACTCAGAAGGCTGAGGCAGAAGAATCGCTCGAACCCGGGAGGTGGAGATTGCAGTGAGCTGAGATCTTGCCATTGCACTCCAGCCTGGACAACAAGAGAGAAACTCCATCTCAAAAAAAAAAAAAAAAAATACAGTTCTGAAGCATGCACCACTTGGAAAATACTCGTGGATTAGACGGTTGCATTATTCTCTGAATTTCACTCTGGCTTCTGTCTCCCCTACCCAGTTAAAACCTTATTTAGCATATAAATACAGAGGCCATTAATAAGGGCATCTATTACACAAGTGTGTTTGGTCCTTAATTGCCTCAGGGTTTTAGGTGAAAAGCTTCCAATTACATCATCAAGAATTAAGGATAACTGAGAAAGATAGTATTGTAAACAAAATTGCTCAGGCAAGCTGCTTTTCGATCTTTTGCATGTCTGCTGATTATAAATGGTCCTAAACACAAATACTAACTCTTCCCTAAAGCAAGACTTCACTACCTCTGCTTTAAATCCTGACAGCAGATAGTTACCTCTGAACCCACCTCTGCCTTTTGTCTCGCTAGGAGTTTCACGTCCTATTTTACTGAGGGAGCTTTCTCAAATCTTTGTCAAAATGGCTTTGAGTCCTCCCCACCCTTCTCTTGCAGCACTCTGACTCTCCAAAAAGAAATCTTTCCCTTCTCCAAGGGTAAGGACTGCCATTCTATGTGGATTTCTCGATTTCATCCCCTGCCTCCTCTAAAACCTCACCCGCAACTAACTCTGTTGCTCTGTATTGCTTTAAAAACTCACCATGTAATACAATTTGATGTAAACAACAAATTAGTTTTGGCATTGTACACATTTTCTCCACACTCTTTTATATTCTTCGTGTGCTGTTTTACTCTCTGGGACAGGGATATCTAATCCTATCTGCTGCTAATGCTCCTGGGGTCTGCTTGTCCAAGAAATGCTTAATCTCCAAACCACACCATTCATTTTAAACATCTCTGTGAATGATTTATGAACAACCTCTTCCTGAAAAGGCAGATGTCTTCAAAGCTATTAGCTTTTCCAATTCCTCTCCATAATCCCTACTTGAAATGCCCAGTTGTCAGCTGTGACATTGTATTTTAAATTCCCTGGATTCTGGATTTTCTCTAGTAAGTTAGCTTTCAGTATCATAGCGTGCTGTCTTTACCGTGAGCACTCCTTTAAAATTGCTTATACTTTTGTATACTTTCGCTTTTTCAAGGCTGATTTCAACTAACAGTAAATGTCTTAGCATAATTGATTGGAGGGCTCGAATTAGAAAATACCACTCCTTTGGCTGTTGGCAGCCTTTAGAATGTGTGTCACGTCTTTCCTGAAGAGCATCCAAACATCCCTCACATTGATCTTCCCTTTCATATCCTGTCCAGCTCCTGAAGGGAAGTCACATGGTTCTTTCGCCATGCCCTGGTTCCAGCTACACTGGAACTGGCTGCCTGTTACTCTGGGTGCTTAAGTGTTCTTCACATTGCGCAGGACTCTCACTGCCCTTGAGAGAGCATGCCTCTCCCAGACAGCTGACAGGCTTTCTTCATGGAGGACAGAATGTTCATTCGCCCTCAAAAGAGTCCATCTCTTTCTGTTGACTCTAAGCAGTCTGTTTCTGCCTGACTTTTGGAGATCTTACAGCATTCACATCCCCTTGCTGAGGTGAAACGAAGATGTGTTCATGCTTGAATGGCAGTCTTTTCCAGTATAATTTCTTTTATGCATCTTCAGTGGCAATTAAGTTTCAGTGTAAAATGAGTCAATTTGGGGAGCATAAAAGTCATAATATTATATTAACGAGCATTCCAAAAGATCCATAAATGATGCCAAAATATTTAAAAATTAAATTGACTTGCTTACATAATTGAACTCTTTAAAATTATATGCTTCACCTCTCAGTTTGAAAGACAAAATGCAGGTACTTTCTCAGGCCCCTCAAAGTGAATTTCGTGTCTGCCATGTTTCCTATATTTTAAATCAGAATTCTAAAATCTACCCTCCAAATGAAGTGAAAATCTCTTGATACAATAATAAAAAGGCATATGGAAAGTGCTATGTATTTATATAGATTTGGAGGAAAAGACAATTACTCCATTAAATAAATATAAATATCATATGAAGTAGAATGCATAAGTCACAGTTTTTAAGTATAAAACCTGGATTCAAATAAATATTATGTTGCAGAGGTCACTTGGGGACACTTTTCTTCTCTCTTATGCCAGAGGAAAAAACTCAAGTGTGAAATTTCCACCCATATCCCTCAGTGTTAACTGATAAATCTTCTATCTCGGAAAAGTTCAGGAAGTGTAGAGTGCATTATCAACAAGTATTTCATGTACTAAGTAACTTTAAATCGTTTCTAATAATATATGAATGAAAGATTCTGGTTTTCTTTTCTTTTCTTTCTTTTTTTTTTTTTTTTTTTTTTTCCTGTGAGCTGTGAGTTTTTGAAAAGCTCAACAAACCACTCAAAAATTAGATGAGCCGCTGCTAATTTCCTTTGCAAGTTAGTTGGGACATACTTTACGTATAGACTATAATGCACATTTATGCTACTGAACAAACAAAATGTTAAGTGATGGTGGGAGAACTTCCCAGAGAAAACTTGTTAGCCTAGTAAATACTGTTGAAGTAAATATCTGAATAAATAACATAAAAATGTGGAGATTTGGAAGGTCACCAAGCCCTAGCCACTTATTTTCATCCATAACAGGAATCAGTTGCTCAGTGGACCATTTTGTTATGAGGTGTTGGTGATTTAACAAGTTGGCCCAAAGCAGTCGGAATCTAAAGTGAAAGATTTCATCTCTGTTGGGTTTTATTGGTGCACACTGGATTCTGTTGCTAGAATGGTCAAAGTTTTCTGCTTTTGGTATTCAAGAACCCAAGGAGAATGTAGTCGCCAATTTGCTACAGTGTTTCCTGCATTTGTTTTAGTGGTTTGTGTATGATTCTAGAAAGCTTTGTTAAAAACACTACCCTAGGATGATTTGCTGTCTACTTTTTAGAGTATGTAATTGCTCAAACTACTGTCCTAGATGTTTTAAATAGCATTGTAAATTTGTTGGGGAATATCATTTTATCCTTAGACTGCATGAAAATTGATCTTATGTAATAAAAAGCAATTTACTTGGATTATAAGAATGTGATTATGGGCTCTGTAAAATAATATCTAGCTTGACTGGAACTGCAGAGAACATGTTTGAGAGGCTTAAGCACAAATATTACCTGGCTGAGTGGTTTTGAACAATCACAGCAATCACTGGGGAAACCCAGGTGTCCTTTCTTCAAGCTCTCAAACTCCATGTTATTGGTATTTTAGACATTTTAAAATGTAAATGGGTATGTTTTCAAAATAAGCTGTATGTTTGTGACAACAGTAAACTCATAACTCTCTAAATCACCAAAAGAAATGAATGGATGAAGCAAGCTTAGTTGTGCATGAAACAGGAAATTTCCTCATTTCACTTATCTTTCTTTGTCTCCCCTCGTCCTCCCTTTTATTAGCCACCTATTTACTTGACTAAGAAAATAAGTCACTGACATTCAAAAACCATCTATTAAGTGTTTTCAACTTGCACAGCACGAAGTTCAATACAGAGGTTTCAACAGTATATGGGAGCAAATGCACTTTGATCTCATGGGGCTTGATCAGAGAAGGCAGAAAATTAGACAATCCAAATGATATGTGGTGAGGGCTATGACATAATCCCACAATTGTCTCGCAAACTCTAATTCTAAATAAGGCTTTGTTTCCACATGTCATTAAGCATATGTGATCCAGATGAATTATGGGAACATCTACTCTTTAGTTTTTCAGTTTCCATCGAAATGTTCACCAAAAGCAACTGCTACACTAACTGCATGCAACTGTTATTTCCCCGGAGGTCCCGTCTCTGGGTGAGAAAGCAATTAAAGTGAACTCATCTACAATTAGGGAAAAAAATCAAGCCCTAGTATAATAGTCATGGAAAAAAAGAAATACACAATCACGGATTATTTGCACTTCCTCTATTCTCTCCCTTAGGACATCTACTTGGCCTCTCCCATGACGATTCCAAATTCTGTGAAGAGACCTTTGGTTCCACAGAAGATAAGCGCTTAATGTCCTCCATCCTTACCAGTATTGATGCGTCTAAGCCCTGGTCCAAATGCACTTCAGCCACCATCACAGAATTCCTGGATGATGGCCATGGTATGTATCATTTAGAACACAGGCTGAGAAACAAAATTTGGGATTCTTGGGAGTTTGACTTCATTATATCCTCACAATATTCATCTTGCCCTCTAAGACAATAGTTGTTTGGATAATGTCAGAAGAAAGACCAAGGAAATTGATCATATATGGGTATGTACTGCCAACGTCCTTGGTGGCATTTTAGCTATGGTATTTTGGCTTTTGAATTGAAAAAGTTCAAAGGAGAAGCAGTGTGGAAGACCACACAGAATGCCTAGCTAGTGCCCTGAAAGTCTGGCTTTTATTTCTTCTTTTACCACTAGCTTCCTGTGAGAACTTTGGCAGACATCTTGGTTTCCCTGCTATTAATATGACTCTCAGAATTATTTGTTACATGCCTATTATAGGGGTGCAGTTAAGGTGTAGGTGACAATTCTACTGGATTCTCTTTATGGCAACATAAACCCAGAAGAGGAAGCTTTCTAGATTTGCACTGACTAGAAGAATTTGGTTTTATCCTGATAGCAGATTCTCCTGAAAGCAGAGTAAAAACTGCAGAACAGAAATAGAAAAGCAATCTCAATGATGGGAAAACACTTTAAGAACTTCAAAAGAAACTCTTGGCTTTATCCTTTCAATACAGTTCAGGAGCATAGCATACTTTATTAAATTCTATAAGACTAGGATTAGTGCTGTAAATGATATTAAAATACTGAGGAAGTTACAATTTTTAGAAATAATAAATTCCGACCCCTAAGTAATCTTTGAAACAAGCTGTTGCAAATTTCCTAGCATTCTTTAGTACTTTAAAATAATAAAAACACAGGAGGATAGATGCATTGGCATTGTAAAAAGTCTTCAGACATTATGTAGCTGAAATTTCCTATCTTACAGAAATGGACATATTCTCATTTATTTTATGTTCTCTTAAAATTTGTGTTTCTAAAACCAGTAGTTAAATTGAATGTGACAAATTATTGATCATAATAATTTTCTATAAAATTATCTCATTATATAGGGTTCAAAGTTGAATAATCTATGAAAACTGTCTTTTTCCCACTTCCACAAAGTTTATGACTTAATGTCCCATAACTTTTTAGTATGTTGACTGTTTTGAATTGTGGCTACATAATACCAGAACAATTGACAAATTCAAATTATTTCAGACATAAAGGCTGCATAGTTCTCTGATACCATGGAGCCAAAATATGTTCATTAACTCATTCTTGCTCCATTAGTGGTGAACAGGTAAAGATTTAGCTGCCTATTACTATATATTTGTATGTCTCATTTTGAAAAAGCAATCTGGGTCCAGCTTGGTTTAAAATATATCTCAATACAAAAAAAAAAGATGTTCTTTTTTAGCTGAAAAATTATCTCAATAATTTAAAGACTTGGAAACAACAATAAGAATTAGTGTATGAAGCTTTTCCTTTAGACCAATAATACAATGGTAATTTTATGTTTAGCTCAGTTTACATTGTGGATTAAATGCCCATAAAGTCCTAAAGTGAATGTGACCTTATTATCATCCTATCTGTGTTGATCAGGTCAATGTCTCATAAAGTCCTCTTGGGTGGAATCTTAAGTCTCCACTCACAATATTGCTTTTCTGTTTTACTTCTTTTCAGGTTTTCTGAAAATAAAATAACATTAATATTTTATTTCAAAATCACACGTTACACATTCCAAGAAGTTGAGCTAAACCTTGAATCACTAAATGAATGGATTTAGTTGCTAAGGCAGCAAATACTTATGGCTAAAATGAGACCAAATTTTTTTCCCTGTGCAAGTATTAGGTCAGCTAATTACAATGCTGGGGAGAATTTTGTTCCTAATTTTGAAATGATTCATTTATTTCATGTTTATGGAATTTGTGATCTTAATTTCTATGCAGTAAATATGCTTTCAGCATTGTCTTCATTTTTTTAACATTAATTCTATATTTAAAGGAGTCCATGCTCTGATTTTTTAAAGATTTTACAACAAATTTACATATTTTTATATCTCTGTTTCTGTTCCAAAGGAATCAAGATAGAGAACAATTAAGAACATACTTTTAATAGAAATAGATCTTATTCATTTGCACTAATAAAAATGTATCTAAATTTCTCATATATATTTAATAAATTCAGTTACCAAAATTCATTGAACAGAAAATGCTTATAGTTTACCTATTTAATTTATTTCCTCCAATCTAGACTTTTTCACTTTTGAATATGTTGGTTTGGTTAGGCAGCCTTTTGTTTTGATAAAAATAATCCTATTTTATCAGTAGCTTATAACGTGAATAAAGTGATTTCAGAATAACAAAAACCAAAGAAAAGCAGTGTGGCACAATGACAAAGCTCAGTTATATCTTATTTCGTTTCAAAAGAGCATACTCAGATTCAGAATTGAAACAGTGATACTCCCTGTAGTGCTATTATTTAAAGATGAATTGAAATAACTTAATAACTTTTAAATTGTAACCAAAAAGCTGACTTAAGTCAATGTAAGTGAAAGTGTGACCATAGAAACTACTAAACCCGGCCGGGCGCGGTGGCTCACGCCTGTAATCCCAGCACTTTGGGAGGCTGAGGCAGGCGGATCACGAGGTCAGGAGATCCAGACCATCCTGGCTAACATGGTGAAACCCCGTCTCTACTAAAAATACAGAAAAAATTAGCCAGACATGGTGGCGGCACCTGTAGTCTCAGCTACTCGGAGGCTGAGGCAGGAGAATGGCCTGAACCTGGGAGGCAGAGCTTGCAGTGAGCCGAGGTCACACCACTGCACTCCAGCCTGGAGGACAGAGCAAGACTCTGTCTCAAAGAAAAAAAAAGAAACTACTAAACCCACTTTAGAGATGATTGAGGTTCTAACATCTCAACTGAAGAGCGTGGGAGAGAACTAAGAAGACAGTCAAAGCCCAAGATGATAGAATAACAAACAGATGCATCTTTGTTAGAAGACTAAACGATGTCACAAAACTCTATTATAAAACCTTTCAACTTTACCCGTAGGAAGATACGCAGGCTTCCACTCAGAGCCCATTTATTCCTATTTTACAGTTCTACCATTTTTCTGTTCTAATTTTCTAGGCCACTCGATTTTTTAAGCAATAAAATAGTCATGAGTGGTGAGGGTGAGGAGACTTTAGACAGGTAATCTGAGAGCAAGAAATGATACTATTTGACAATAAGAGAAAAGCTGTAAACAGCAGCTTGAGAACATGAAAGGCACTGTGGTCTAGTATCATTTTCTAAAGGTCAAAACCCCTATCTCACCAACACAGTCCCTCAAGTTAGCGCTATATTTCAGCATGATACAATAACTGACACACAGAAAAAAAATGATTTTCAATTATTTAGGAAAGTTAAACTGTGGCCCCTATAAAGGCAGAAAAGCAATTGCTATTTTTTAAGCAGGTAATCTCACAACACATATACAATTTTTTAATGGTACCTAAAGAGTACATTATAAATGGGTATTCCATTTATGTCTAATATCTTATCCCTCCCCCTCTCACCTTCAGTAATACTGGAGAAATGAGGTCAGAGAGTAAAATTAAATTCAAAGCATTTGATTTATTTTTAAAATTATTAGCCATAAGTAGCTGGACATTTGTAGCACTTGTCCACTGCCAAATGTAAATTCATTAGTACTGAGTGTTTCCTGATTTTGCTCCAACATGCAGAAATATGCAGCAATTAGGTTATGGTTGAAAAACCAGTGTGTGCTCACTCTAAAGTCACTATGTCTGCAGATTTGTGATTCAGAAAAGGAGAAGCCATGTCTCATGGGACCCCCCTGCTCCCAACCTTGGCCAAGATACTTGTAGACATTCTGCAGTGTTTATACAAGCTAGCTCTAGGCAAGCTGGCTAGGAGTATGATCCTCAAAAATAAAGGTAAGCACTGGCAAAGAAATTGTGCAGTGAAAGCAGGTTATTGAATTTCCTTTCTCAAATGCTTACTAACCTTGAGTCCAGAAAAGATAGCTGTGCCTGCTGTATCCCTGAGTCCACGGTGCCAGATGATGAGAAAGGTCACCACTTATGTAGATACAGCTCAAGAACACTCACAACATAGGTTGCTAAGGAAAATCTATAGATGGTTTTGAAAATTCGTCATGTAGTGTAAAGAGCTAATTTTACAGCCATTTACTGAACACAGAAATCTGCACATAAAATGATATTGGAAAACCAGTTCTCTGAACCTTTTGTTAAGTATAGACTGTAAAGCCAGCCAGGAGAGCTTAACATCAGTTTTTAAGGTGGAGTTAATAAAATTCAAAGCCAACACTATGGTTGTATCTTGATTTTCATACTAAATATGCTCTTTAATAGAGTGTGCAAATAAGACATATAGTTTAAGGCCACGGTGACATATTTTTAAAAACATTCCTTTATCCTCTATCACAGGGAATCTTTAATTTAATTTCCTTGCCATTACATCTGCTAAACAGTGTACCTAATGCATCTAACAGCTTCACACCCAGACCCCTTGAATTGCTTTTTGACAACAATTATCTGGTTTTTGGAAGTGCTCTTGTTCATTCTTATATCACTGGGTCCAAAATGAGTGATCAAAGAGCAGGCAAATGCACCCATTTATATTTTAACGTTAGACATTCAAGGAAAGACCTAAAAGCAGAGGGCCAAGGGTCGTGAGATGAAGAGAGGAAGCAAAGGGAGATAGTAAGCAGCGGTGTTAGGCTTCTTTGGATGAGTTTCATTAGGAACATTAATTGATTTCTCCTAGATCATGAATATTTGGGTCATGCTCAATTTCATACCTGAGTATTGAAAAGGAAGAGAAGGTAGAAATAATTGTAGTGCTAGAAATAGGGAAGAAAAATTGAAAACAATAAAGAACAACAACTTTGAGACCAGGCATGGTGGCTCAAGTCCTGTAATCCCAGCACTTTGGGAGGCCAAGGTGGGCGGATCACTTGAGGTCAGGAGTTTGAAACCAGCCTGGCCAACGTGATGAAACACCATCTCTACGAAAACTACAAAAATCAGCTGGGCATGGTGGCGCACCCCTGTAATCCCAGCTATTCAGGAGGCTGAGGCAGGAGAATTGCTTGAACCTGGGAGATGAAGGTTGCAGTGAGCCGAGATCGTGCCACTACACTCCAGTCTGGGCAACAGAGCTAGACTCCATCAAAAACAACAACAACAACAAAAAGAACAACAACTCTGATAATTTTGGTTCACCATTAAGATGAGAGACAAATAGTACTATAAGTAAGATATATAAAACTAGAGATTTTTCTGTTCCATTTCCTGGAGGCATGGCATTCCTTCCATCACCTTTAGTGGAATTCTGCCAACACATTTTCTTACTGGTTCATCTCAAATCACAGCATTTTACTTTTAATTTTTTTGCCTTATTTTAAGCATTTAGTTTAACATGAATGGTAAAACATATATGCAATATGCACACATTCCTATTGACTTTCTTTTCTTTTTCTTTTTCTTTTTTTTTTTTTTTTTTTTTTTTTTGAGATGGAATTTCACTCTTTGTTGCCCAGGCTGGAGTGCAATGGCATGATCTTGGCTCACTGCAACCTCAGCCTCCCGGGTTCAAGTGATTCTTCTACCTCAGCCTCCCGAGTAGCTGGGACTACAGGTGCCTGCTACCACGCCCAGCTAATTTTTGCATTTTTAGTAGAGCTAGGGTTTCACCGTGTTGGCCAGGCTGGTCGCGAACTCCTGACCTCAGGTGATCCGCCCACCTCGGCCTCCCAAAGTGCTGGGATTACAGGCATGAGCCACCGAACCCAGCCTGACTTTATTTTATAGTCTATCTATTTACATATACACAATGTTAAAACAAAAGAAAAAAAGGAAGAAGGAAGGAAAGGAGAGAGGGAGGGAAAGAGAGAAGAAGAAACTTGCCAATTTGTAGAATAGACCAAACACAAAATGTTCGCAGCAAGGCCCAGATCAAATTTCAGACTACGATGAATTAAAACATATGTGAAGTAGATGTGAAGAAGTGGTTGAGAATAAAAGCAAAATAGGTTAAGAAAAAAATCAGCAGTAGGTTGGATGCTTCCAGAGGTCACTAGAAATGATACTGAAAGGTTGATCAGTTTCCCTTTTTACTCCTTCCCCAAACTGTATACATTTTTTAAACATAGAAAAATATATATCCAATCTGTTATTACTTAGATTTTAAACATTTTATACTGTGAGATTCAGACTTAGACTCTGTATTGATTTTTGTTATTGTTTCTTGCTATCATTCTGTCATTTGGTAGAGATGCTTGTACCTGTTTTGTTGCAAAAGGACGTAATTCAATGTAAAAATGAAATCATATATACTTTGGCATAAACAGAAATTGATGCAGCTACAAATCCTAGTACTGAGAATGCTGGCATAACACATTAATTGCAATTCTAAAATAAGTTATTTTATTTTAAGCAAGAAAAGGTCATCTCCACATGTATGACCTCTAAGGGAAAATTATAGAGCTGATATATCTTATTTTTAATAGAAAGCTAATATGTTACTTATTTTTAAAACTTATACTTCTAAGTTAAGCTTTTTAAGGAGATGCCACATCTTGAAATCTCCTTGTTGGAAGCCGATTTCAAATTGTTTGCATTACACATTTCTTTTCACTTGTCATCTACTAGTGAGGTAGAACAGGTGTCAGTGACTGTGTATGCATAGTCAGGTGGTGAGTTATTTTGACTCCAGAAAAATGCGGTAGATCCATGCCATGTGAATGCATACATGGTAAAGACTTCCTAACTAATATTTAGTTACCCAGTCCTATGGTCTGTGCTTTTTAGTAAAACTTAAAAAAAAAAAAGTTTCTTAAAACAGCGCTTTTGAAGAACTGGAAAACATTCTTGCAGACTCAGAGATCTGTTGACAGTCTTCTAACATCAGCAATCTGCCAAGCATCTCCTGGTGTACACAGTACTTCTTTTTTGATTCTGCAATGAAGATAATGTTTTTTGTGGAGTTATGAAGCCCTAATCGCGCTCTGTCTTATAAACAAACTTAGGGAGCTTTTACTATCATTCTTTCCTACTGACTTGATGTTGATGTTTTTCTTTTAACTTGGTGTTTTTCTCCCAAAGTTCTCTTTGGCTGGATACTTATTTTTAATGGTTTTCCTGGCTTGCCTTAAGAAGCTTTACCTCTCCAAACGTTCTGGCTCAGAAGTTAAACAGGAACTTTGCTCTTTATTCATTTTCATATAATGCCCCCAACACAGATTGACAAATTCTAGGGTATTCACTTTGAAGAAATTTGAATGCAGTCCTTAAAAATTTATGGTGTACTTAAAATGTGCTGAATATTCGATTTCTCAGTGGTGCATAAGGATTTGAATATGACTTTTTTGTTGAATAAAAAGAATAACTGTAATACATCTAAAAGACTGTGAAATATGCTGGGATAGAACTACCATTGCTTTGTATTTTTCTGGTCACCCTTCATATCTTTGTGAGGTAATTTCACATGTACAGTATCACAGTGAGAAGAGAAGCCTTATGCAGATCTTGAAAATAAATTAAGGAGAGGTTAGCTAACTTAGCCAGGAGCATTCAACCATTTAGTGTTTCACCAGAATAAGACTTCAGACTGGGTGTTTCTTCCATTAAGCTCAATATCCACCGCTTAAAGGATCCTTACACATGGCTGCCCTTCAGCAATACAATCAGGCAGCTACTCACATGCTAACAGAAGCCATCTGGCGTCAGAAGAGGAGGGCAGGCTCCGAGCATGAAACCATAACAGCTGTGTGACCTTGGGTAACTGGTCTGCCTCTTACGGGCCTCAGTTTCCTTATCTGTAGCATAAATAAAATATGCACTAGAATCTGCCTGATGGGGTTGTGGTGAGGATTAAATGAGCTCATACGTGTAAAGAACGGAGAATAGTGTGTGTAACACATATTTGTTATTTTTAATTGCTATTCTAATAATTGTGTAAATCCTAAAATCAAGTAAACAGAAAAATACAGAAACAGATGGACAATGTGCATGCACATGTGTGTGACAAAAGAAAATTAATGATGTTAACTCACCGGACAGGGATTCTTAAGGAAGCTTTTGCAGGGAGGGGAAGGAGAGGGCGAGGAAGCACATTTAAGGTTTTGGATTCTCATTGTCCATGTTCCAGCTTCTATGGATTCCCCATCTCACCCCTCTGCCTGTACATCCTCATATGTGATGCAATGAGATGCCTACCTTGTTTCAGCAGATACGCTCCAAATACTCAACAAACACCAATTCCATTAAATAGATACAAAGAGAAGAGTATAAAGACTAGCCTAATCCTAAATTATGAAAGACTATTTTTTCTTTTTTCACTGCTCCTTTGTTCTGTGAATCTTGAAAGCTTTTTATTAAAATTTTTATCAGTCTGGAAGAAATACTTTATCTCCTTGACTTTACTGGAAGGCCTTCAAAGGTAGATCTGGGTCATTTTTCTGTATTTCAGATACCTAGTGTGTTTTCTAGAACATTGTAGGTGCTGAACAAATGCTTGTCGAGTGACTGTAAGAATGAATGAGGATCCAGCCTGGCTATTATTTATGGAATTAGTGGAAAGGAGACATGTGATAGGCACATGGGGAAGGGGTGAGTTAGAAATGGGTAATGGGTTATACAAATAGAGTGCCAAAGGCAAACTCTGTTTCTCAAAGTAGTCAATGTTTCATTATCATTATTATTATTATTATTAAAATTCACCATCTGATTTCCTCTAGGTCCATCTCAATTTTGTTTAGTGCCTTAGCACAACGGCTATTTTCACAAGTAATCATTACAAAATCATTTTATTTCATCACACCCCTGCCAACCTCACCTCTATTGTCACAGACACTCCGGAGCGTATCACTCCTGAGAACCCTGGAGGGTATCGTGCGTCGGAGGAGGCGCCCAGCCTTGTCCCCGTGGAGTCCCTCTCCAGAGCGTTACACTGCAGATTCGTAGGTGCCTCGTGCTCCAACACCAGCCGGGGCATTTTATTTTTAGATCCTTGACTTTAGCGGTTTGAAACCTAAACACAGAGCCGTGGTCAATCTCAGATATTCTTGTAGGTAACTGTTTGCTGGACCAACCACGAAAGCAGATCCTGGGCCCGGAAGAACTCCCAGGACAGACCTATGATGCCACTCAGCAGTGCAACCTGACATTCGGGCCCGAGTACTCCGTGTGTCCCGGCATGGATGTCTGCGCTCGCCTGTGGTGTGCCGTGGTCCGCCAGGGCCAGATGGTCTGTCTCACCAAGAAACTGCCTGCTGTGGAAGGGACGCCTTGTGGAAAGGGGAGAATCTGCCTGCAGGGCAAATGTGTGGACAAAACCAAGAAAAGATATTATTCAGTAAGTGATTTTCTCATCAGTCGGGGCCTGGAGGCCCAAGAAGTGAAGTGCGTTCTTGTGATGGGTATGGTCACTGTCCTCAGAAGGCTTTATTTTCTGATTTAAAAACTTTTCATTTTGAGATTTATTTACAGCTTCTGTTACTCGCAGTAGCCATTCTCAGTGATCCGAGATTTACTGGGGAAAATGCAGATACCAGGGATTTCTTTGCAGTTTACATCTTTTAACATATACTCATGTAACTCAGATTCTGTCTAATTGAGACCCCAGGCAGGAGCCTATTCATTGCCTTTGGGAAGTTTACTTTCAAACTTCTCTTGCTGAAGTTATCAGAATATAAGTATTTAAATTCAGTAAGGAGGTAATAGCAGAGCTGATACATGTGGTCCTTGTACATATTTGGTGAGCTCCAAATGGTCACTTTTTTTCCCCTTGACAATAAGTTCGTCTAAATTTAGGAGCTGAAGTAACTTATGGCTGCTCTGGGGAAACACATCTGCCACCATATACACAGTCCACTTCAGATCAGCAACTGCCCTTTAATTTTCAAGACCTGAGCAAAATATGTGCTCGCTCTCAACCCACAAGATTTGCAAAGTCCCTAGAAGTGAATGATCATGTGCCCATTGCCTGTATCTTTCCGGGGCATCACCCAGCCGTGCACCATCAGATAACCTGACACAGTCAGCCAGAGGCAATTCACACATTCCCTCAGCAAAGCAGCTGGGCAGATTCTTCCTTTCAGAATCTCTAAGCTCCCTCCCGGAACGTCTCCAGAGAAATAGACTTAGGTTGCCATAAAAGGGCTCTTCCTTCCCTAAGGGGTGTGTCTGCATGGATGGCGTGAGTGCACTTCAGTATCTGTCACATCTAATTAGGAATTAAACCAAGTTGGGTCCGGTACATTTATGTACGTCACGGAGTCGGTCACAGACAGGATGTGGGGTGTCAACAAAGGGACCACAGAGTTTTACTGCTAAACAGATGCAAACACAATTAAATAATGCCCAGTGCCATGCAGATCCTTTAGCATTATACGTTTCAATAAAGATCCGAGATCAGAGTGGACAAAAAGTTACCATGCTTCAGTGATATTAACAGAGATGGACCAAATCAGAAGACATAATTTACAATGGCCCATAGAAACCGGGAGGTAATCTTTGTGGTGTGCTCAGCACTTAGGATGACGCTTTCAGATCTTCTAGTGCTGGAGTGGGGGTGGTGGAAAAGATGGATTGCTTAACACTGGAAATGTATTGTATTTCCAAAGCATGATCATGTTAAATTCAGTGAAAATATAACTGTGTCTGTGACAAAGTTTCTACTTTGTCGTTAAATGCAAGTGATTTCCAAATGCACATTTTGATTGTTTTTCTCTCATCTGAGTTAAAATATCTTCTATTTTCAGACATCAAGCCATGGCAACTGGGGGTCTTGGGGATCCTGGGGCCAGTGTTCTCGCTCATGTGGAGGAGGAGTGCAGTTTGCCTATCGCCACTGTAATAACCCTGCTCCCAGAAACAACGGACGCTACTGCACAGGGAAGAGAGCCATCTACCGCTCCTGCGGTCTCATGCCCTGCCCACCCAATGGTACGCTGCTCTCAAGTGTCAGCAACCATCACATGCTACATGTCATTTGTATTCTAGCAATAATGAATACAGGAAGCTGGGGAAATAATATCAATCTTAGACTGCGCAGTTCCACCAATATGCAGATCAATAACAAACACGTGTGTGAATTTTTTTTTTTTTTTTTTTGAGACGAAGTCTCGCATTGTTGCCCAGGTTGGAGTGCAACGGCATGATCTTGGCTCACTGCAGCCTCCGCCTCCTGGGTTCACATGATTCTCCTGCCTCAGCCTCCTGAGTAGCTGGGATTACAGGTGCACACCACCACACTTGGCTTTTTATTTATTTATTTATTTATTTATTTATTTATTTATTGTATTTTTAGTAGAGATGGAGTTTTACTGTGTTGGTCAGACTGGTCTCGAACTGCTGACCTCGTGATCTGCCCACCTCAACCTCGCAAAGTGCTGGGATTACAGGCATGAACCACCATGCCCGTTCATATATGTGATTTTTAAGTTACTATTATAAGCAACAGAGTATTCAGAGAACTGGAATAAATAATCACCATTTTGAACTCTATGTATGGATAAAATCCATCAGTACTATTGAGTAAAGAGACTGTGCAAAAAAAAAAAAAAAAAAAAAAAATTTGCATCTTACCCTTAAAATTAACTATTTAAACCCACAAGAATATATCTAAGTTTCAGAACTGACAAATAATACTGTGACATGTTTGTTTTCTAGGTAAATCATTTCGTCATGAACAGTGTGAGGCCAAAAACGGCTATCAGTCTGATGCAAAAGGAGTCAAAACTTTTGTGGAATGGGTTCCCAAATATGCAGGCGTCCTGCCAGCGGATGTGTGCAAACTGACCTGCAGAGCCAAGGGCACTGGCTACTATGTGGTATTTTCTCCAAAGGTAACTACACACCAACTGTGCAGAAGCAGTAGGCGTACTGGTGGAAATTATTTGGTAGAATGAAGCCTGCGGATGCAAGATGTAAACAGCTATTAGTTTGGGGTCAGTTAGATTTTGGAAGGTTTTTATTTTCATCTCTATAACTTCTATATTTTCAAACTTTACACAATGAATAAAAATTATTTTATAAACAGAACAAGTAAATGTTTTAAAAGCTATATTTAAAAGGTGTAACTCACTGTCAAGGAAGGCAAAGTGTGACCTTAACTTTAAAGTAACCACGAAAACAACTAGTATTTCCTAAGCACCATTGTAAAGGAGACTCTAAGGCAAGAAAACTTTTTCTATTTTTCTATGATTTACTTAAGAATTCCTTTGATGAGCCATGGAGATGGGTTTCAAGATCATATACCTTTGCCTGAGACTTTTGAATAAGTCAAGAACCCTTAATATGAATCAATGTCCCTGTAGTTACATATGACATAATATTTGTGTATGGAACATGACTTATTTTTCACAAGTGAGCATTTTCTAAATCTATAGCAGAGTTTTATTCTTATGGTCAGTGTTATACAGCAATTTACACGTTTATAAACAGTTGCTACATTTAAAATCACCTATGGCTGGGTGCAAAGGCTCGCACCTGTAACCTCAGCACTTTGGGAAGCCGAGGCGGGCTTTCACATGATGAAACCCTGTCTCTACTAAAAATACAAAAATTAGCTGGGTGTGGTGGTGCATGCCTGTAATCCTAACTACTCGGGAGGCTGAGGCAGGAGAATCGTTTGAACCCGTGAGGCACAGATTGCAGTGAACCGAGATCACACCACTGCACTCTAGCCTGGTAAGACAGCGAGACTCTATCTCAGAAAAAAAATTACCTCTGAAACTTGGCCTTCAGACATTTATGACATGTTATTGAAAAACAAGCTAATGCCCAATGTATGTAATTTTTTAAATATCATGTTTTTATTAGAAAATAATGCATTTTCATTTAAAAAATTACACAGCAGTAAAAACATAAAAATCACCTGAAAATACCACCGTCTACAGAGCTATTAACCTGATGAAGTATATTCTACTTAAATTCACACATGCACACATTCACAACATACACACATGCATAAAAAGAGTTTTCTATATACATACATATGAAATTTACAGGCTTATTTATGTATGTGAGTGTATATATATTATACTCACATACACAAGCCACAATCTATGTACACAGTTTTATAACCAGCTTTTAAACTATACACTAATCCCTTTATTCAAAATATATTCAGTCTCTTCCAGTAAGTCCATTCATCTAACTTCTCCAGACTCCTTTTTCTATACTAATTTGGTTGCCTCTATTTCAGTGTCTGACAGTTCAACACACAATAGGGAATGCTCTCCAACCATGACATAGTTTTGAATGGCAAGTTTAGATTTTCGAATTTGTCATTATCATAACAACTATGCAACAAAGAAGGATCTTTGCATTCTCAAGCCTGCTTATATTCAGTTCTGCAAACAAATGATAGTCCAAAACCCTAAGTCCAAAACACTTTTTTCTATCATAAAAAGCCAAGATGGTATGGTGGGAATGTATTATGCATACAAAAACGAAGATAAGTACCTTGTGTCTCTTACCACATTCAGAGGTAAGCTTAAGAGAGAAACTGTGTAACCTAGGCTTATTGTAATCTGCTGTCTGGCAATATGCCAAGGATTTTTCAGTTAGATACTTCCAGAAACTATGTTTTTTGGCTTTTTTTTTTTTTCAATGAACTGTCTATGCCCATCAAACTCAAAAAATCACAAATGAGACCTTACTAGTTGACCAAAGGAGCAAATACTGATGCACACGTTTCCCACTGCTAATGTGTTTGCCATGATTCAGGTGACCGACGGCACTGAATGTAGGCCGTACAGCAATTCTGTCTGCGTCCGGGGGAAGTGTGTGAGAACTGGCTGTGACAGCATCATCGGCTCAAAGCTGCAGTATGACAAATGCGGGGTATGTGGAGGAGACAACTCCAGCTGTACAAAGATTGTTGGAACCTTTAATAAGAAAAGGTAATGATAGAACCTTTGCCTTTGTATGAATTGAACAAAGCTTTAGACGCTTGCAAAATTGATAAAGGGGGGTTCATATTACATCATAAGCTATGTGTACAAGGAGGTCTAACGTGGCTCTAGAAACACATTTTAAACATGAGAAGGAAGAGACAGGAGATGAATAAAACACTGGTTGCTCAGGGATAACTCATGACGCCTCTGGAAGCAGATAAACTGCAGTAGCCCTGGGAATCAATAGCTGGCAGAGTCGGAAAACTGAAAAGAAAGAGTGGGTGACATTCCACTTTAGTGATATGTTGCAGATCTATTGTTATTCCTAAAACATAATTTAGATAAGGTTGGCTGGTTTCGATCTTAACTGTAGTTTCAAAAACAAATTCTCCTTACGCTGTGTTTTCCTTAAGAAAGCATTTCTCCTTGCAAAATGTAAGTTCATGGCAGTGGTGTGGTAACAATCCCAGTGAAGTATCCTGGTTTATATCTACTCTCTAAAGAAATATATACAGCAGTGTCTGTCTCCTGCTTCCTCTTGTGGTCCTAGATTACACTTTTGCTTTAAATATTCAAGTTTATAAAGTACCAATTTCTGGCATAAAACATGCTATCAGGTAGGATGACTGAGTTGACTAGAGTCTGGTAAAACACAGGTTTGCTTTTCTTCCCAAACCACTCTTAGGCTGAGTGTTATTAGTCAAAGGTATCTGTATTCTTGATGGACGTGCTCTGTTGTCTGTAATTTGAGAGTAATATGCAAACCAAATTAACAATAGGATTTATTAAAATAATTTAAAATGCTGATGTAAAAACTATAAATTTCCTCTGATGTGATTTGAAAATATATGGCTGAAAAATTCATTCTGAGTTAAAATAGGCATTACTAATTCTATTTGCTAATGAAATAATTATTCACCCAATTGTGTTAGACCATCTATGTCAAAAACCCTGCATGCCCAATTATAGCCTGCATTTTTATATGTTTCAAAGGTATTAAACACCTTGGAGATGATCAGTCCAACCTTGTGTTTTAAAAATGAGATGGACTCTGAAAATATAGGAGTTAGCCAATTCTCCATGGCTGATGAATGCCAGAGAAGAACAGACACCATAACTGAAATCCTAGAATGCACAGGTCACTTTGAAAAAAAAAAAAAGAAATACAGAAAGAGAGAGAAAGAGAGAGAGAGAGAGAGAAAGAAAGAAAGAAAGAAAGAAAGAAAGAAAGAAAGAAAGAAAGAAAGAAAGAAAGAAAGAGAGAAAGAGAAGAAAGAAGAAAAAGAGAAAGAGAAAAGAAAGAAAGAAAGAGAAAGAAAGAAAGAGAAAGAAAGAAAGAAAGAAAGAAAGAAAGAAAGAAAGAAAGAAAGAAAGAAAGAAAGAAAGAAAGAAAGAAAGAAAGAAAGAGAAAGAAAGAAAGAAAGAAAGAAAGAAAGAAAAGGGAGGGAGGGAGAAAAGAAAGAAAGGAAAAGGAAAGGAGGGAGAGAGAGAATTCAGGAATCAGATTAGAAACAAAATTACTTTTAAAAAGTAATACCTTATACACTTTATGGTACATATTCTCTTCTACATAAAGTTATAAACCACTTTTCAAATTGCCAAATTTAGCATTTTAAGTATTTTGTGTTGACAACTAATATCTGCACATTTTTTCACATGAAAAGATGAAGAAATTCATTATAGCAACAAGTGGTATGCAATGTAACCACTCGAAAATTGGTTTGACCAAGATTATATTATGGTACAAATGACTTGTTTGAGTAGTTCAAAGTTATTACCGAGGGAGGCCATAGTAATTTATATGATTTATAAAAAGGAACATTGATCTCATACTGGAATATTTGTAATCAAGCTTTGGCTCAATGATTGCTTAGATATGTGATCTTTGAATTGTCACCTAATTTCTTTACCGTGAGATTTCTCAAAAGTAAAGTGGAAATGCTAGTAATTATTATCATACGGTTAATAAAACTGTTTTGAAGGTGAAATGAGATAATACATACTAAAATATTTTATCAAGTTTAAGCCTATTCACAATATGACCCTAATCTTAACTTGCTCCTCCCTCAGTTTTCCTCATCTCAGTAAATGGCAACTCAGTCTTTCTACTATTGAAACCAAAACTTTGGAGTCATGGTTCGTGTCTCATTTTCTCTCTCACCCCACATCCATCCATCACCAGATCCTGTCGGTTCTATTTCCACCACATCTCCAGCATCTGGGTGCCCCTCACCACAGTGACCGCTCCCACCTCAATCCAAGTGTTCATCGGATCTTGCCTGGACTAACACTGCAGTCTTCTCATGACCTCTGGATCCTTTGCCCCTCAATCTCATCTTACCAAGCAAGGAAAGCCATGGCTATTACCTAAGTCAGATCATTGCATTCCTTTGATCAATAGCCTCCAATGGCTTCCATCTTACTTAGAGTCAATGCCCAAGACTGTTTTGTAATCTCCAAGGTGCTAAAAGATCTGGCCCCTTCCCTCCTCTGTGTCTTTTCTGCACTGTCCCTTTCTCTTGCTCTGCTCTGACCAGAATGGACTTTCTGGCACTTCAAAAACATGACACCAAGTATGAGGATGCTGTTTCCTCTGCCTGGAACACTTTCCGCTATTAATGAGCAGTACACCTTCCAGAATCTCTTAGGTTTCTGTCAAATGTCACCTGCCCAGATGGTGGCTACTGTACATGAACAAGAGGGTACCTCCTGCATTCCCACCACTACTGTGTAACTTCTTACCTTACTCTGTTTCTTCACAGCTCTTATCAATTGATATCACCACATATTTTGTTTGCTGGGAGCAGACTAAAACATCCCTTCCCTGACAGCATGCTTGGATATCAATGAATACATTTCTTCATGACAGTCATTGCCCTTGGCACTGTGCAGATAGCCCTGAACAAAACAAGATTCCTTTACCCTGCTAGCCATACTTCGTAAGAGTTATATGAAAATTGCATTCACTTATGGTAGTCAGGAAAGCTGGTTCGTGTCTGGAGTTTAAATGATACCAAGCAGGATGTAAAGAAAAGGAATCAGGAATATCAAGAGAATCATCTTTTACTAAGGCACTAAAAACTCAGGGCACTAATACTCAGGTTTACCAGTGCTTGTGAAACTCAGTTTGAAGACCTACAGCGATACTGACCATCATACTAATTCTTATCAAGATGAGACAAGCTCTAAGGAACAAGGGTAAACACCCAAAAAAGCTTTCCTTACCCTTTATTCTTTATTTTACTTACTCCCTACTGGGCATCATTTAAACTCTGGACATAACCAGAATTTAATTTCATTTAACCGCTATAACATATGGCTGGCAAGGGTCAGGATTTTATGCCTGGGGACATAGTGAAAAAGAGCACTAATTGGGAGTCAAGAGCCTGACTTTTTTTTTTTTTTAAGACAGTGTCTAACTCTGTTGCCCAGGCTGGAGTGCAATGGCACAATCTTGGCTCACTGCAACCTCTGCCTCCCGGGTTCAAGCGATTCTCCTGCCTCGGCCTCCAGAATAGCTGGGATTAGAGGCATGGGCCACCAAGCCAAGCTACTTTTTGTATTTTTAGTAGAGACGGGGTTTCACCATGTCTGCCAGGCTGGTCAGGAACTCTTGTCCTCAGGTGATCCCCCCGCCTCGGCCTCCCAAAGTGCTGGGATTGCAGGCATGAGCACGGCATCTAGCTAAGCCTGGCTTTTAAGCCTAACACTGCCACTAATCAGCTCTAAAGTGAACTTGTTCCAATACTTTCATATATCCCCATTTCATACTCTTTTTGTGTAAGATGACATATTTATCTCCAACTACCTTCTGTTTAGACAGATCTCATTCTGTTACTCAGGCTGGAGTGCAGTGGTGCAATCATAGCTCACTCAAAGACCCGGGCTAAGTGATCCTCCCACTTCAGCCTTGCCAGTAGCTAGGACCGTAGGCATGCACCACCATCCCTGGCTAACTTTTTTACTTTTTGTAGAGACAAGGTCTCCCCTATGTTGCCCAGGCTGCCTTTGAACTCCTGGCTTCAAGGAATTCTCTAACATCTCTTTTGACTTTTTTTGAAGCCACTATAGTTTCATGGATTATTTATTAATATTAGGTACTACAAAACACATCTGTAACATAGTCTGAGCTGTAACTACAAAAATAAAAATAATGAATCGAGTTAGAATAAGGAACACCCTGAGCACTGCATCATCTCTCTTCAACACTGTGGGAAGCTGTATCGCCTGTGTGGTTGTCACTATAGAACGCTTCCTTGGCGATCAGCTTCCTTTCCAATTCAGAGGAAACTCTGGAGTAGGGGAAACACACTTGGATTTTTAGCATGTGAATGAGAACTGGAAATGAGACAGTTCAGCTCCACACGTCAGTCAAACTGTGCAAGCCAATAGTATTCCTGTTTAAATAACTACGAAAGTAAAAGGACCCTATTATGAAATTACTTAAAAAGGCAAAAATGTGGACAACAGTAGACTCCTCACCTCACACTTGGTGCTTAATTAGCATTTCCATCCTAGCATTCCTCACAGGCTTATGGGTATTAAAGATATTTATGTCTTTCCCCCTTTTTTTGAACAGATGATGGCTCTTTGAAGACTTATGTGTCATTCACCATAAAGCCTTTCTCAATCTATCATATCTTATGGGCACTAAGAATTCAGAAACATTTGCTAAGTCATTTTTTAAAATTCCCCTTTTATGATGGTATTAGTAATATCATTACCCAATTTTGAAATTGCGTACTTCATTTAGTGGCCTGTCCCACAAAATCCAGAGTTCTAGTAGAAAGGGATGCAGAGACTCTACTCGCCTCTAGTCCAAAATCTAATTAATTCTGTGTTCCCGATTAGTCTGCACATTGCAACAATGTGAGAAGTTTCAAAAGTGCTCTTGCCTGTGCCCAACCATGGAAGATGGGATTTAATTGGTCTGAGGTGTGGGTAGGCTCTGAAAGATTTAAAACATCTCCACATGATTCTAATGTGGAGGCAAATTTGAGAAACATTAAAGAATTATATGAGATTAAGTGAAGGCATACTTTTGTCAGTTTGTATTTAAATATATCCTATTTTGTGCCAGAAGGAATGTAAAATAGATTTGTAAAGGTGATAGGATTTGATAAGGATGAAAATGGTTTCATAAATCTTGAAAGTTAGTATAATTTTTTTTAAATGAAGGCAGGTTGCTTGCATCATCCTAATTTTGAACACCTCCATTAAAGTGTATATAATACTGTAGACTAATTGCAATTTTGTCATAAAAAATAATTTTTAAACTCAATTTTAAACTAATCTCTTAAAGACATTAAAATTGTGTGTTAAGAGAAGACTTTTTAGATAACTTGTTCATTATTTACTGTTTACTTATTTTTTCTCCTTTTTAAAACCACCTCCCCCCACTTCCTGTGAACATTCCTACTTCCAGTAAGGGTTACACTGACGTGGTGAGGATTCCTGAAGGGGCAACCCACATAAAAGTTCGACAGTTCAAAGCCAAAGACCAGACTAGATTCACTGCCTATTTAGCCCTGAAAAAGAAAAATGGTGAGTACCTTATCAATGGAAAGTACATGATCTCCACTTCAGAGACTATCATTGACATCAATGGAACAGTCATGAACTATAGTGGTTGGAGCCACAGGGATGACTTCTTGCATGGCATGGGCTACTCTGCCACGAAGGAAATTCTAATAGTGCAGATCCTTGCAACAGATCCCACGAAACCATTAGATGTCCGTTATAGCTTTTTTGTTCCCAAGAAGTCCACTCCAAAAGTAAATTCTGTCACTAGTCATGGCAGCAATAAAGTGGGATCACACACTTCGCAGCTGCAGTGGGTCACGGGTCCATGGCTCGCCTGCTCTAGGACCTGTGACACAGGATGGCACACCAGGACGGTGCAGTGCCAGGATGGAAACCGGAAGTTAGCGAAAGGATGTCCTCTCTCCCAGAGGCCTTCTGCGTTTAAGCAATGCTTGCTGAAGAAATGTTAGCCTGTGGTTATGATCTTATGCACAAAGATAACTGGAGGATTCAGCACTGATGCTGTCGTGGTGAACAGGAGGTCTACCTAACTCACAGAAAGTCATGCTTCAGTGGCATTGTCAACAGGAGTCCAATAATGGGCAGAATCTGCTCTCTGTGACCAAAAGAGGATGTGCACTGCTTCACGTGACAGTGGTGACCTTGCAATATAGAAAAACTTGGGAGTTATTGAACATCCCCTGGGCTTACAAGAAAGAAACACTGATGAATGTAAAATCAGGGGACATTTGAAGATGGCAGAACTGTCTCCCCCTTGTCACCTACCTCTTATAGAATGTCTTTAATGGCATCATAATCATTTTCACCCATAATACACAGTAGCTTCTTTTTACTGTTTGTAAATACATTTTCCCTTGATATGTCACTTTATATCCCTTGGTTCTATTAAAATATCCATATATATTTCTATAAAAAAAAGTGTTTGACCAAAGTAGGTCTGCAGCTATTTCAACTTCCTTCAGTTTCCAGAAAGAGCTGTGGATATTTTACTGGAAATTAAGAACTTGCTGCTGTTTTAATAAGATTTAGTATATTTTGACTACAGGAGATAAAATTTCAGTCAAAAAATCATTTTGACAACAAGTATCTTCTGAGAAATTTTGAAAAGTAAATAGATCTCAGTGTATCTAGTCACTTAAATACATACACGGGTTCATTTACTTCAACTTTTGACTGCCTGTATTTTTTTCAGGTAGCTAGCCAAATTAATGCATAACTTCAGATGTAGAAGTAGGGTTTGCCTGTGTGTGTGTGATCAGTACTCAAGAGTCTGAAAACTAGTTTCTGTGTGTTGGAAACTTAAAAGGAAAAAAATTGTATTTCACTGTGTTTTCAATTTGTATTCTCACAACTACTTTCTCTCTCCAGAGCTTTCATCTGATATCTCACAATGTATAACATACGTACAAAACACACAGCAAGTTTTCTATCATGTCCAACACCTTCAACACTGGTATACCTCTTACCAGCAAGCCTTTAAAATGCATTTGTGTTCGCTTATTTGTTTTGTTCCAGGGTTCAGTAAGACCTACAATGTTTTGTATTTCTTGACTTAGTTTATTAGAAACATTAAAGATCACTTGGTAGTTAGCCACATTGAGAAGTGGTTATCATTGTTAGTGTGGTAAATGCCAAAAAGTGGTTAATATGAATAAGACTGTTTCCACATCATAGGCAATGATTTCTTAATTTAAAAAACCTAAGTATATTCCTATTGTACTAAAGATTTTTCCCAACTGGAAAGCACTTGGTTGTACCTGTAAGTGTCTGAGTGAGAAAATGTGATGATTTTCAGAAAGTTGTTGTTTTTGTTTCCATAGCCTGTTTAGGTAGGTTGTAAGTTTGAATAGTTAGACATGGAAATTATTTTATAAGCACACACCTAAAGATACCTTTTTAGATGATAAAATGTACACCCCACCCCCATTACCAACCTCACAGCTTAGAAAATCTAAGTTGTTTCATTTCATTGGGATTTCTTTTGTTGTGAAACACTGCAAAACCAATTTTTCTTCATAAAAATTCATAGTAATCATGCCAAATGTGCCTATTGTTAAAGAGTTGCATGTAAAAATCTTAGGGAACTATTGTTTGAGTTATACAAGCTCATGAGAGTTTATTTTTATTATAAGGTATTTTTAATATAAAAGAATTATGTAACTGATCACTATGTCACATCATTGCAGTGGGCCAGGAAAATAGATGTCTCACTGTTTTTAGTATTTTCTTAAGAAATTGCTTTTAAAACAAATAATTGTTTTACAAAACCAATTATCATCCTTTGAATTTTCACAGACTGACTTTGCTTTAGATGTAGCAATTTTTTTTCTTAATAAATTATCAGTTTGAGAAATGAGGCCCGCAGAAGGCTGATAACCTATATTTGATGGAGATCACCCAGTGCCAAGGGCAGAAAGCAAACCTAGTTAAATAGGTGAGAAAAAAATAATAATCCCAGTGCCATTTGTCTGTGCAAAGAGAATTAGGAGAGAGGCTAATGTTACTTTTTTCCATTTTGGAAATAATTTTAATCAAGTAACTCAAATGTGACAAAATTTATTTTTTGTGTGTGGTTATATTCCCAACAACATTAAAAAATAATTGAGGCATAAATGTAGTTGTCTCCTACTCAGCTTCTCTTACTATACTCATAAATTTTTAATATGATTTGTCAATGATTCATGTTTCCCTCAAATAGTGATGGTTTACACCTGCCATGGGAACAATCCCAGAGAGCTTAGAGCAAATAAACCACTATTCCATGCTTTTAAGTAGTTTTCTCCACGTTTTTCTTATGAGTCTCACTAGATTGACTGAAGAATGTATGTCTAAATTCCTGGAGAAGGTGATATGGACTGGAAACTGAAATTCAGAGAAATGGAGTGTTCAATAGATACCAAGAATTATGAACAAAGGGAAGATTCTATACAACTCAATCTAAGTCAGTCCAGTTTTGACTTTGTACTGTCTTTCACGTTTCCATTGTTGCATCTTGATTTTTTTTTTTTTTTTTTTGAGACAGAGTCTCGCTCTGTTGCCCAGGCTGGAGTGCAGTGGCGCAATCTCGGCTCACTGCAAGCTCCGCCTCCGGGGTTCATGCCATTCTCCTGCCTCAGCCTCCCGAGTAGCTGGGACTACAGGCGCCCGCCACTGCGCCCGGCTAATTTTTTGTATTTTTAGTAGAGACGGGGTTTCACCATGGCCTCGATCTCCTGACCTTGTGATCCGCCCGCCTCGGCCTCCCAAAGTGCTGGGATTACAGGCGTGAGCCACCGCGCCCGGCCCATCTTGAATTTTAAAAATGTCTAGCATTCAGGATGCTAGGGCCTATTTCTTTCTTTCTTTTTTTTTTTTAAAGAATTTGTCTGAAAATGCTCAGGTTTGTAAGAATCTAATCTCACTTACATAACTAAGCACTCCATAATAAGTTTTATTAAGTACAAAGGGAGTCAGAAGAAAATGACATTTATTTCTTCTAGATCAGAAAAATTTAAATTAAGCCCTGCCTTGCTGTTTAGAAATATAAGGGCATTGTTATAATTTATTCAATAAATTTATCTTCCTTTGCCTTCCTGTGGAAACAGTTTTATCCCACTAAACTAGGAATTAAGGGATAAATCACAAACAAAAAAAAGTTGCAGCACTGAAAAAAAGTAATTTATTGTTTTTGCAACTGGTATGTGAATTTGTTGATAAAATTATTTATTCTTATTTAACAAAAGTATGTGCAAATTTTTCTATATTTAAAATGTTTTGCTGTTGTCCTACTTTTTAATTTATGCTTCGTGTTTGTGTATAAAGTACACTTTTACACTTTGTGAGTTTACATAATATACAGCACTGGTTGCTTTTGTATTTTTTTACAGAAAGCTTTCTGTGTGAAACAGGTGTATATGTATATATTCCTCATGTATTCTTATTCTGATACTATCATTTTTCTTTCCAAGGAAATTTTAATCTTTCACAACTAATAGTGTTCATTACTTGTACCTATGATAATAGGTCTTTTACATCACATTAACACTAATTTGTCCAAGTCACAAATAAGAAAAACACTTATTCAATGAAACAAGGTGCAAGTTTTAAATTTGGGTACACAAATAGCCTAGAAGCTTCCTACAGGCATTAAGACACAGCCAAGAATCAGATTCTTTCACTTCATCGAGAAACGTGGACAAGTTGACGTTGATGTATTAGATGAAAGTTGTGTACACACAACTTCTGAGGGATACAAATGATAATAAAACCAAACGTTGTCTTTGTCTGTTTAGAAACACCTCCTAAAATTAATATCATTTAGTCTTTAGTGTCTCTAGGATTCTACAGATGAGCACAAATAAATTGGGTTTGTATAACGAATGTTAATAGTCATAACTGTTTCTACAAATAAGGGGTGTCCATTAAGAGAATGTGATGTTTTTCTACTACTGTTGAATCCCCTGGGGTGATTATAGGACTTGAAATAGGCAGAGTTGCCTCTGATGACATCAGCTTGCCTCTGTGATTTCACAGTCTGATCCTGGCAATAAGACAAAGCACCCTTGGACACGCAGCCAATCTCTGGCTGTGATACTTCCCCATTGATTCCTCCCTTGTTAACAAGGTCATTGTAATGGTTCAGGTGAGGACAGCAGCCAGATTCAAAGTCCAGAACTTGTGCTGTTACTTAGAGTTCACACTGTAAAATAACATTGAATTTAATAATGATCGAATTTTTCTAGTAGTCTATGGCAGAGTGTATAATCTCATTGGCATGATTGGTGAATATTAATAATCTCTTTATAATGAAATGATGCTCTACAAATACAATATATTTGCTAACATTTCAAAACTACTAAATAAACGAAATAGCCATGTGTACAGAAATGGTCATCTAAAGCTTTAATAGAACCAAATTCAAGACAATGTATCATTGAGACACACAGAGAAGGAACTTGTATGTTTTCCCTATTATTTTTCTCATTTTCCAACAATCTATAGTTTTAGATTATCAAACAGATAGATCAACTTAACTGGCTAGGACATTGAAAAAAATCTTCCTAAGAATGCTTTGTTGGCATAATCTATAGAGATAATTTCTCAAATTATATTATTATGATGCATATAAACTCTATAACGTATAATTGTGTTTCACTTATTTAATGTATGAGAACATATTGAAATATAAAACCATGCATTAGCCAAAAGATTGGAATATAGGTGGTGTTCAGATCAGCAAAACATTTAATCTGGTAAATGCCTGCCTGGGGCCATGATATCATTCTCAATGCAGGTTTTATGGGAAAACTGAAAGAATATGTTGTTAGATGATGTTGGTTTTGAAAAAAAATAAGACATTGGCATACACATTCGTTAGCCCTGTTAATTGCATTCTACTAATATAGTTGCACTTTAGCAATAATTTTGCTCTCTCTGGTCTTTATTCTGTGGCTTCAACTAACTGGACCATGTGGACCACAAAAGTCAAATGAAAAAAACGAGAACTGACCCCTCATCCTATAAGGTACTGCCACATCAGAGTGACCTAAAAGTCTAACACTGTGAAGAGAACTGTGATTGGTAGGAAAAAACAAACAAATGAAAAACAGGGCATGCCTTTTCATTTTTTTTCCACTTTCCTTTGGCATATCCAGTGAACAATTCTAATTTTTATTGAGGTGCTAACATCTTTCGTGACCAATTGTCAAATATGGTATTTCTGAGATCCTATTTTTCTACATGATTTTACAGTTTGCAGGAAAGACCTCTAAGCTTTGTGTCAGGGTAGGGCACAACTGGATACTCCAAATTCGAAAAATGAGCACATCCAATGATGGTTTTGACCAACAGTGGTCAGTGACATAAACTGCATGTGTATCTGAGGACATTTAAGGGGTCATTGAAACTTGAGGAGCATCAGGCTGGAGTAGCAGACTTTTAGATAAGTCATATTTCAGCATTCACTAAGTCCTCAGCATTCCATTCAAACTTTCATGTATATTTGGCCTGATCATTGTTTTCAAACTTTGCAATAGTTTGTTATTAGTAAACACTTGGTGACTATATCTCAGCCTTTTCTTTAACAACTCATAATATATTAGAAACATGTCTACCTATACTGAGAGTATATTTACAATAGAAGGCCATACTGTGTGTGACTTTGTAAAGCTAGACTTTTGATTTAAAA